CTGCAAATCGGCATCGAAGCGAGTAGTAGCAGCGGTGAAATTAGCTCAATACGACCAACTGTATGTCAAACTGGACACCCCAGAAGGTGCCAATAAGATCTATCGACTGGCAGAGGCGCGCCATCGTTCGACTCAGGATATTGGTCAGGTCAAATGCATAAAGGATGAGAATCACAGCGCTCTCAAAGACCCGCCCGCCATCCTTCAACGCTGGAGCGACTACTTCTCTGGAACCTGCAACCAGGAATTTCCCCACCAACCTATTATTAGCGCTGAACACGTCCTCGATCCGGTTTCACCTATCACCATCACCGAAGTGGAACAAGCTATCAAGAGAATGAAGAATGGGAAAGCGACTGGCCCGGACGATATCCCTGCTGAGGCCTGGAAGATCCTTGGCAGGCAGGGTGCTGCCCTCCTTACCCAACTCTTCAGCACCATCACGAGCACCGGTGAGGTCCCAGAAGCCTGGTCGACCAGCACGACGGATCCAATTTGGAAGGGTAAAGGGGCCGTGGCAGAATGCTCGAATTACAGGCCAATCCGGCTCCTGTGTCATGCGATGAAGATCTTTGAGCGAGTTTTGGACACGAGGATTAGAAACATCGTCACCCTATCACCCAACCAATGCGGCTTCGTCAAAGGATGTGGCACTACGGACGCCATATTCGCGGCGAGGCTCCTGCTGGAGAGGCACAGAGAGAAGAACAAAGCTGTGCACGTGTCGTTCCTCATTGGGTGCAACTCCTATACAAGAACGTCACCAGTGCAGTCAGGTGTGCAGTGGGCATATCACCGCCATTTCCCATCAGCGTTGGAGTGCACCAAGGATCGGCCCTGTCACCACTCCTGTTTATCCTGTGCATGGACACGATCACTGCCGACCTGCACACGCCCCTGCCATGGTCAATTCTCTACGCGGATGACGTCCTCCTCTCAGATGAAGAGAGAGGAAAAGTCGAAAGACAAACCCGCATGTGGTAAGAACGTTTGGAAGAAAACGGGATGAGGTTCAACATCAAAAAGACGGAGTATATGGAGTGTGGCCCCCAAACCGACGGCACCATCAGCATTGACAGAGAAGATCTGAAGAAAGTGACGGACTTCAAGTACCTGGGTTCCACCATCAGCTCAGATGGTAGCATCACGACTGATGTGAGGTCACGAGTCAATGCGGCATGGATGAAGGCAAGTCACCGGAGTCCTCTGTGATAGGAAAATGCCGGATAGGCTGAAGGGAACAATTTACAAGACCATCGTCCGACCGGTGGCACTCTATGGATCCGAGTGCCGGCCAGCCACAACTGTACACGAACAAGCTCTCCACACCATGGAGATGAGGATGCTCAGATGGAGCCTCGGACTCACTCGATGGGATCGTGTCATGAACGAAGACGTTCGGAATCGACTTGGTGTGGCCCCCATTGCGGACAAGATGCTTGAGGCAAAGCTTCGGTGGTACGGCCATGTGATGCGAAGTGAAGAGTCATCAGTGGCCAAGACTGCCATGTGTATTGAGCCAGAGAGCCGCCGTCCACGCGGACGTCCGAAGAAGCGATGGATGGATCGAATAAAGGAAAACATAAAAACGGTCAACGCATCCCCTGAAGATGCCCTGGACCGAGCCAAATGGGGAAGACAATGCCGAAAAGCGGACCCTGCGCCACAGCGGGAACAACGCTAGGAAGAAGATTACCTATTGGATTTCACTCCCTCGTCGAGAAGGCCGCTCTCTTCCTTTTCTAAAGTTACATGCTAATTTCTCTGCATTCACTTTAAATCGAGGACAAAGTTTTTATTCAAAATAGACGCACAATTACACACTGAGATGCACTTACATATGCATGCATGAAGCACAATGGGCACATTACCCTTCGGTATGTTAATAGACATGCGGATTGTGCCTTCAAAAATTAACAATCAAATGCAAATATCCTGAAAGACAAAGGATTGGATCCTAGGGGGGGAGTTATAAGGCGGCTCAGAAGCAGAGCTCAATGCCATTTCGAGAGGGAACTTGATGAGGTTGGACGCTCGACTCGTCGCTCTGCTGATCGCCCTTCAACCGCGAGACAACGCAGCCTGGCGAGCACAATTGCTGTGTCGACAGTTAGGCGACTTTGCGTCGGGAGAGTTCGTGGCGACATCTTCAGACGGGTTCCAGACATCGATATACCGTGAATCTCCTAGTAAGTGTCTATTTTCGCGTCGTTAAATTAGCGGGATTTTTTTGCGTCTCGGTTAGACGCGAGTGTCGTTCTTGTTTTAGCAGTTAACAAAATCCAAAACATCCTTGCGGCCGATAGCGTACTTTTGACTCAATAACACCGCTGCTGTTACTACACTCACATGGAGCAGAGAGGCTCTCCACAGCCCCACGCACACGGAGGCAAGAAGCCATTCAATTGCTCTGTGTGTGGGAAGTCCTTTTCACGGTCATCACATCTTAAGAGACACCAGAGAACACACACGGGCGAGAAGCCATTCCTGTGCCCTGTGTGTGGGAAGACATTTGCACGGTCATCACATCTTCAGAGACACCAGAGAACACACACAGGCGAGAAGCCGTTCCTGTGCCCTGTGTGTGGGAAGACATTTGCACGGTCATCACATCTTCAGAGTCACCAGAGAACACACACGGGCGAGAAGCCGTTTCTGTGCTCTGTGTGTGGGAAGACATTTGCACACTCATCAACCAGGAACAGGCATCAGAAGGTCCACAATGATAGGAAACTGAAATCAAAAGCTGAAATTCAAGGTGCTGCAATGAGTCCTGAAGAAGTTTCCACCTTCGATCCCATGCAGTTGGATCCCGAGAGATGGCTGGATGTAATGGAGTGGCTCGAGGATCAAACCGAGAGCTCGGGGTGACTGAAAAAATATTACGTCATGTGGTTATACCTATTAAGCCGTATCGAGTACTTTTGTGTGTAATTTTGACCATTTTAGTTTTACAGTTTTTTTGAGAGTTTAATTACGTGCACAGTGGTGGTTTGTTATGTTATCGGATTACTTGCCGAATTGGTGTGAAGAGCACTGGTTGTGAGAGGGTTCAATTGTAGTCGTTAAGTGTTCCTGTTGAGCTAAAGTTGGAATGCGTCTGTAGGTACATCTTTACTCAACATTTTAAACAGTTTTTTTCAAGTATATAGCTTTTTTGAATGGTATTAATCGACTTTAGATAGCCGGTTTCCGGATGTACATTGATGACGTGTTCGTTGGATATATGGCCTTGACTTCAACATAGACGCACAGTGAACAAATGTGGTGAACTAATAAGGACATCATGGGGAATGAAACTTTAACGCTTTGGTATTCCTGGAACGGAAATGGTTTGCATTGTACTGGAAATGTTTGAACATAGGACATAATAAATATTCCCTTTGAGTTTTGACGTAAAAATGATTGCAGATGAATAAAAACGTATTTTTAACAAATGTTTGTCCGGTCTTTATTTTATAATGTTCCAAGCTTAAAACATGTTAAGAGAATTTTAGGTGGAGGATCTCCGTCACACAAGTGTGCCCTTAACCGGCAGCATCTTGGCTGTCTACCCGATTAACACGTGTTCCTTGAGGGGAAAGGTCCCCGTAGTTAATCGTTCATCAACGTACCAGTCACTAATCCCGAAGTATGTCGGGGATAAACTGTACTCTATAACATGTAAACTGTAATACTATAAACGATAATAACATGTAAACTGTAATACTATAAACGATAATCACAAATTGTGACAAAGCGAAATTCCCACAAGCAAAACACCACGCTCACGTGACGAATTCTTAAACAAACTGCTACACTCAAGTGACAGAACTTAACAAAAAAACGTCGCAATAAAAAGAACAACATCAATGGACAAATCCTAAAAACAGACAACACACGCACGTTAGTAGCTGTTAGAAGAAGACAACACCAAGCACCTTCAACTATACACATCATACAGCCAACTCGTAAATGGGGCGGTATATGACAGCCTTCGCTGCTGTCGACGGGGCCAAGCAGCGAGTGTTTAACTCCATTGTTTCAGAATCCGTGTCATCACCCGGCCGCAGCGCCTTAGCCAAACTACATCTCCCCAACAAGGCAGCCTTCCCTATGCTGTGTATTTTAGCAGTTTATTTACGGACGCACTTGAAGATAACAATTCGTCTAGAAAAGGCAGGCGACTTGTTCTACCAACACGATTTAAAATTTCTATCCGAAAGAAGTATGAGTTCATTCATGAGTAGTATTCACTAAGCCCCGATTGCACTAACCTACACACAGTTATGATTAATCAAAGTAAACATTAGTCGCTCATCCCAGCTCAGACATGATCATAGCAATCATTTCCAAATCCGTGTCGGGTCCCACGAGGACAGGGCACGTCCACAAACTTTTAAATTGTAAACTCACATTGCATACTCTAACATTATAAACTCTAACAATATAACCTTTAAACTATGAGCTATACATTGTAACGCTTTAAAATAACACTACAAACTAGTGTTATAGTAAACGATAATGTTATGAACTCTAACAATATAAGCTATGAGCTATACATTATAACGCTATAAAATAACAATAAACTGGTGTTAAAGATTAGAACACCGTACATTGAAGTGTGATATTTGAATTCGAATTCTTGGCTTCACACCGTGGTCCTCTAGGAATCACAATTTGCTCGTCAGTATGTAACATGTCTGTATGTAATATGTATGCATGAGACAATGTCTGAATGTAATATGTATGCATGTAACATGTATGTATGTAATATGGACGTGCGAACCAATGGTGGGATATGTGAAACATGAAGGTGCAGGATCAGGATGGGATTAAAATTATTTGAATAACACTTTGGTGGTATGCGCCGCAGCCTGGCTGCCCAGCAGATACCAAGGAGGAATTTTGGGAACAATTGATGGACACATGCAATCAAATAAATGGAGAAGAGCAGTTAGTAATTGGTGGAGACCTAAATGGACACGTTGGAAACGCCCGGGATGGATACCCTCGAAACCATGGTGGCCAAGGATATGGTACCCGGAACGATGAGGAAAACCGAGCCCTGGACTTTGCGGAAGCCCATGATCTTGTCCTCGCCAACACCTTCTTCAAGAAGAGACCGTCCCATCTCATTACGTCCGCCAGTGGTGGGATATCAACTCAAATTGATTTCTGGCTTGTCAAGCGGGATAAGCTGAAAACGGTGACAAACACTAAAGTCATACCATCGGACAACATCACCCCACAACATCGCATCCTGATCATGGACATGAAAATGGACATTGGCCAGCGACATCGCCCACCAACAACGGAACAGCAGCGAATTAAGTGGTGGCGGATGAAGGAATGCAAAGATCAGCTGAGAGTCGCCCTCAATCAGATTGACGTGAACACCAACCGACCAGCGAATGCGATTTGGGAAGATCTCGCCGGCCAACTGTGCACAGCAGCAACGGAAGCACTGGGGCTAACTAAGCCGGCAAACACTTCATTGACAAGCAAATATGGTGGTGGAACGAAGAAGTTCAGCTAGCAGTGAAAGAGAAAAAGCTAGCTTTTAAGAAGTGGCGCAAAACGCTCGCAGATCTGGATTACCAACAATACAGAAACTGCAAATCGGCAGCGAAGCGAGTAGTAGCAGCGGTGAAATTAGCTCAATACGACCAACTGTATGTCGAACTGGAAACCCCAGAAGGTGCCAATAAGATCTATCGACTGGCAGAGGCGCGCCATCGTTCGACTCAGGATATTGGTCAGGTCAAATGCATAAAGGATGAGAATCACAGCGCTCTCAGAGACCCGCCCGCCATCCTTGAAGGCTGGAGCGACTACTTCTCTGGAACCTGCAACCAGGAATTTCCCCACCCACCTATTATTAGCGCTGAACACGTCCTCGATCCGGTTTCACCTATCACCATCACCGAAGTGGAACAAGCTATCAAGAGAATGAAGAATGGGAAAGCGACTGGCCCGGACGATATACCTGCTGAGGCCTGGAAGATCCTTGGCAGGCAGGGTGCTGCCCTCCTTACCCAACTCTTCAGCACCATCACGAGCACCGGTGAGGTCCCAGAAGCCTGGTCGACCAGCACGACGGATCCAATTTGGAAGGGTAAAAGTGCCGTGTCAAAATGCTCGAATTACAGGCCAATCCGGCTCCTGTGTCATGCGATGAAGATCTTTGAGCGAGTTTTGGACACGAGGATTAGAAACATCGTCACCCTATCACCCAACCAATGCGGCTTCGACAAAGGATGTGGCACTACGGACGCCATATTCTCGGCGAGGCTCCTGCTGGAGAGGCACAGAGAGAAGAACAAAGCTGTGCACGTGTCGTTCCTCGACCTTGAAAAGGCATTTGACAGGGTCCCCCACGACCTCATCTGGCACTCGCTTCGATCCCATGGAGTCCCTGAAACCTACGTGCATTGGGTACAAGAACGTCACCAGTGCAGTCAGGTGTGCAGTGGGCATATCACCGCCATTTCCCATCAGCGTTGGAGTGCACCAAGGATCGGCCCTGTCACCACTCCTGTTTATCCTGTGCATGGACACGATCACTGCCGACCTGCACACGCCCCTGCCATGGTCAATTCTCTACGCGGATGACGTCCTCCTCTCAGATGAAGAGAGAGGAAAAGTCGAAAGACAAACCCGCATGTGGTAAGAACGTTTGGACGAAAACGGGATGAGGTTCAACATCAAAAAGACGGAGTATATGGAGTGTGGCCCCCAAACCGACGGCACCATCAGCATTGACGGAGAAGATCTGAAGAAAGTGACGGACTTCAAGTACCTGGGTTCCACCATCAGCTCAGATGGTAGCATCACGACTGATGTGAGGTCACGAGTCAATGCGGCATGGATGAAGGCAAGTCACCGGAGTCCTCTGTGATAGGAAAATGCCGGATAGGCTGAAGGGAAAAATGTACAAGACCATCGTCCGACCGGTGGCACTCTATGGATCCGAGTGCTGGCCAGCCACAACTGTACACGAACAAGCTCTCCACACCATGGAGATGAGGATGCTCAGATGGAGCCTCGGACTCACTCGATGGGATCGTGTCATGAACGAAGACGTTCGGAATCGACTTGGTGTGGCCCCCATTGCGGACAAGATGCTTGAGGCAAGGCTTCGGTGGTACGGCCATGTGATGCGAAGTGAAGAGTCATCAATGGCCAAGACTGCCATGTGTATTGAGCCAGAGGGCCGCCGTCCACGCGGACGTCCGAAGAAGCGATGGATGGATCGAATAAAGGAAAACATAAAAACGGTCAACGCATCCCCTGAAGATGCCCTGGACCGAGCCAAATGGGGAAGACAATGCCGAAAAGCGGACCCTGCGCCACAGCGGGAACAACGCTAGGAAGAAGATTACCTATTGGATTTCACTCCCTCGTCGAGAAGGCCGCTCTCTTCCTTTTCTAAAGTTACATGCTAATTTCTCTGCATTCACTTTAAATCGAGGACAAAGTTTTTATTCAAAATAGACGCACAATTACACACTGAGATGCACTTACATATTCATGCATGAAGCACAATGGGCACATTACCCTTCGGTATGTTAACAGACATGCGGATTGTACCTTCCAAAATTAGCAATCGAATGCAAATATCCTGAAAGACAAAGGATTGGATCCTAGCGGGGGAGTTATAAGGCGGCTCAGAAGCAGAGCTCAATGCCATTTCGAGAGGGAACTTGATGAGGTTGGACGCTCGACTCGTCGCTCTGCTGATCGCCCTTCAACCGCGAGACAACGCAGCCTGGCGAGCACAATTGCTGTGTCGACAGTTAGGCGACTTTGCGTCGGGAGAGTTCGTGGCGACATCTTCAGACGGGTTCCAGACATCGAATTACCGTGAAGCTCCAAGTAAGTGTCTATTTTCGCGGATAAACTCTTAAATGTGTTCGTCGTCAAATTAGCGGGATTTTTTTGCGTCTCGGTTCGACGCGAGTGTTAAACATCCTTGCGGCCGATAGCGTACTTTTGACTCGATAACACCGCTGCTGTTACTAAGCTCACATGGAGCAGAGACGCTCTCCACAGCCCCACGCACACGGAGACAAGAAGCCATTCAATTGCTCTGTGTGTGGGAAGGCATTTGCACGGCAATCAAGTCTTCAGAGACACCAGAGAACACACACGGGCGAGAAGCCATTCCTGTGCCCTGTGTGCGGGAAGGCATTTGCACGGTCGTCAACTCTTCAAACTCATCAGAGAACGCACACGGGCGAGAAGCCATTCCTGTGCCCTGTGTGTGGGAAGGCATTTGCACGGTCATCAACTCTTCAAACTCATCAGAGAACGCACACGGGCGAGAAGCCATTCCTGTGTCCTGTGTGTGGGAAGGCATTTGCACGGTCATCAACTCTTCAAACTCATCAGAGAATGCACACGGGCGAGAAGCCATTCCTGTGCCCTGTGTGTGGGAAGGCATTTGCAGACTCATCAACTCTTCATAGTCATCAGAGAACACACACGGGCGAGAAGCCATTCCTGTGCCCTGTGTGTGGGAAGGCATTTGCAGACTTATCAACTCTTAATAGTCATCAGAGAACACACACGGGCGAGAAGCCATTCCTGTGCTCTGTGTGTGGGAAGAAATTTGCACACTCATCAACCAGGAACAGGCATCAGAAGGTCCACAATGATAGGAAACTGAAATCAAAAGCTGAAATTCAAGGTGCTGCAATGAGTCCTGAAGAAGTTTCCACCTTCGATCCCATGCAGTTGGATCCCGAGAGATGGCTGGATGTAATGGAGTGGCTCGAGGATCAAACAGAGAGCTCGGGGTGACTGAAAAAATATTACGTCATGTGGTTATACCTATTAAGCCGTATCGAGTACTTTTGTGTGTAATTTTGACCATTTTAGTTTTACAGTTTTTTTGAGAGTTTAATTACGTGCACAGTGGTGGTTTGTTATGTTATCGGATTACTTGCCGAATTGGTGTGAAGAGCACTGGTTGTGAGAGGGTTCAATTGTAGTCGTTAGGTGTTCCTGTTGAGCTAAAGTTGGAATGCGTCTGTAGGTACATCTTTACTCAACATTTTAAACGATTTTTTTTCAAGTATATAGCTGTTTTTGATTGGTATTAATCGACTTTAGATAGCTGATTTCAGGATGTACATTGATGACGCGTTCGTTGGATATATGGCATTGACTTTAACAAACGTGATGAACTAATAAGAAAATATTGGAGAATGATAATTTAACGCTTTGCTATTCCTGGAACGGATATGGTTTGCATTGTACTGTAACTATTTGAACATAGGACATAATAAATATTCGGTTCGAATTTTAACGTCAACATTATTGCAGATGAATAAAAACTTAGTTGAACAAATGTTTGTCCGTTCTTTATTTTAAAATGTTCCTAGTAAAGTTTCAGGTGGAGGATCTCCATCACACAAGTGTGCCCTTAACCGGCAGCATCTTGGCTGTCTACCCGATTAACACGTGTTCCTTGAGGGGAAAGGTCCCCGTAGTTAATCGTTCATCAACGTACCAGTCCCTACTCCCCAAGTATGTCGGGGATAACTGTACTTTATAACATGTAAACCGTAATACTATAAACGATAACACTGAACATTGAACGATTATAAACCAGTGTTTAATTTATAACCATATTAACGGAGGTAAGGTATTATAATATCATTACAATCACAGCGTGGTCGTATAAGAATCACGCACAAACCCATTATAAACTCATTAGATTATGAATCGTTACAATTATTATAACAATCACAAATTGTGACAAAGCGAAATTCCCACATGCAAAACACCACGCTCACGTGACGAATTCTTAAACAAACTGCAACACTTAAGTGACAGAACTCAACAAAAAAACGCCGCAATAAAAAAAACAACATCAATGGACAAATCCTAAAAACAGACAACACACGCACGTTAGTAGCTGTTAGAAGAAAACAACACCTAGCACCTTCAACTATACACATTATACAGCCAACTCGTAAATGGGGCGGTATATGACAGCCTTCGCTGCTGTCGACGGGGCCAAGCAGCGAGTGTTTAACTCCATTGTTTCAGAATCCGTGTCATCACCCGGCCACAGCGCCTTAGCCAAACTACATCTCCCGAACCAGGCAGCCTTCTCTATGCTGTGTATTTTAGCAGTATATTTACGGACGCACTTGAAGATAACAATTCGTCTAGAAAAGACAGGCGACTTGTTCTACCAACACGATTTCAATTTATATCCGAAAGAAGTATGAGTTCATTCATGAGTAGTATTCACTAAGCCCCGATGGCACTTACCTACACACAATTATGATTAAACAAAGTAAACATTAGTCGCTCATCTCAGCTCAGACATGATCATAGCAATTATTTCCACATCCGTGCCGGGTCCCACGAGAACAGGGCACGTTCACAAACTCTCAGATTTTAAACTCACATTGTATACTCTAACATTATAAACTCTAACAATATAACCTTTAAACTATAAGCTATACATTGTAACGCTTTGAAATAACACTACAAACTAGTGTTATAGTAAACTTTAATGTCGTGAACTCTAACAATATAAGCTATGAGCGATACATTATAACGCTATAAAATTACATCATAAACTAGTGTTACAGATTAGAACACCGTAGATTGAAGTGTGGTATTCAAATCTCATTCGAATTCTTAGCTTCACACCGTGGTCCTCTAAGAATCACACTATGCTCGTGAGTTTGTAACATGTCTGTATGTAATATGCATGAATGTAACCAACCAGGCGAGTAATGGAAGAGCTGATCCCGAATCGGAGGCCACCACCCGAACATCAGCAACAGTCGATAGCGTGATTCTAATAGGACCACGTTGTTATTATAACAATTTTAATGCGATCAAAACAGCGCACCTCCCATTTTGCATTTACGACTCGCGATATGCATCTACATATAACATACATTCTAGCTCAGTGTAATTCTAATACGACCATAGTGTTATTCTAATCATTCTAATCCGATCCTAATCCACCAGTTCGCATATCCGACCCCCGGTTCGCATGTCCAACGGACATACATATTACACTAGCAGTTGCCGCCCGCTTCGCGGGCGGTGTGTATATACTTAGTTGGTGGCGAGTTGAAAGTGGCTGGACACAATATACATGTTTTGGTGATTGTTTTATGTTTATTTTTGTGAGGTTATATGTATTTTTATGAGACGCTCAATCGACAATATTAAAGAATGCAAGATATAGAAATATAGAAAGCAACTAATTCAAATATCTGGCGATACACTATATTCTTCGTGTACACTCCGCCTTCCTCCTCGTCGTCAGGTCCCTCAATAAGCGCCTTGATGTTGGATCTTGCCGTGGCTCGCGATGGTGCCACGTACAGTTGGCCGTGCGAGAAGCATGGAGTTGGTAGATATAATCCCAGGTTGTGAACAGTTTGCCCTTGCGCCTTGTTGATGGTCATCGCGAAGGCTGGAACAATGGGGAACTGCTTGCGCCAAAGTCGAAATGGGAAGTCCTTCGTGTCGTCGTCGCTGATGAAGATGATCCGAGGGATCAACACCTCCTTACCGTTATGGGTTCCTGTCATGATAGTCGCGCGAATGACGTGTGGCTTCATTTCCACGATGCGAAGCCGTGTTCCGTTGCACAGGCCAGCGTCCGGGTTCAAGTTGCTGCACATCATCATCACTGGGATGCCTTTGTTGAGGATCAACTTGTGTGGCGGAACCCCGTTGATGTTCACCGAGTTGAGGAGCTCTGTCTCAAAGAATGCTGACCCTGCTCTCTCGTCGTCCTCAACCGAATCTGTAGACAGGTACACTTGTGGAGCTTCTCTGAGGCGATCCGCGACAGCCTCATTCACTCGCTGCACAGCGGCGTTGGTCGGCGTCAGAATAGTGCAGTGAGCGAAGTAGTCGTTCATTGCCACCGTAGGGTAATTCAATTCATCTGCACTGTACATGGCATCGACAATCCTCTTCAACCCGAGTGGAACGGGCTGATGACTGCCGTCCTCATCTCCGTCGATGTGTGAGTTGTATTCAGGATTGTCGATCACCAGTGCACGCGGAATCTTGATGCAATCCGGACCGAGGTCTGGATCAACGTCATGCCTACTCTCTCCGACTTCCAAAATAAATTCTGAAAAGGCAGCCAGTTCTGTGGCGGATTCTTGGTTCTCTGCACACTGGACTCTCATGTTCACAGTCAGATGAACTTGCTTGAAGTGGGACCACAGGTCATGACGACTTGAAACACGCATCGACAGTATCAGCTGGTGTTTCTTTCTTCACAACTGGCAGAATCTGTCGAAAGTCACCGGACAGGACAATCACTTTGCCTCCAAACGGTTCATGCAGATTGTCCAAAATATCGCGAAGCGTGCGATCCACCGCTTCAAACGCAAACCGGTGCGTCATTGGGGCTTCATCCCAAACGATAAGACTTGCCTCCTTGATAAATGCTTTGAGCTTGGACTGTTTGCGAATGAAGCATGTGGATATGTTCGTCGGTTTTAACGGGATCTTGAACGTGGAATGCGCGGTACGGCCGCCTGGAAGCAGCAGCGAGGCAATGCCGCTGGAAGCAACAGCAATCGCAATCTTGCCTTGAAGACGTATCTTCGCCAGCACATGGTTGAGCAGCGTGGACTTCCCCGTGCCGCCCGGACCATCGAGGAAGAACAGCTTTTGATCGGGTTGACTGTCTTCGACTGAGCCAACAATTTCGTCGTAGATTTCTCTCTGGTTCGTGTTGAGTCTGTCAGCACGTTCTACGATGTCTTGTGTGGTGCCACAGCGACGGGGCCGTTCTGCCGAGCCAGGGAGCCGCCCGGCTTCCCCCACCGCACTGCCCCCCATCCCCCGCCCCACATAAGCACACACCCGCACGCATCCCCCCCCCCCCCCATAGAGCTGGAAGGGAAGGTTACCTGATCGACCGGTTTTTATCCGAGAGACCCTTATCGGGATTAATTCTCACGGTTTCCGGCGATCAGGGAATTGGATGACCTCCCCCGTGCTACGTGGTACCGCGGCGCTGCTGCCGGCCTTAATATTGTGTGGTCGCGGCGTGGGGCATTCGGCCACCGCGGTTGAGGCGCATTTCCCCCCACACACACCCCCACGAGTCGACGGGGCAAGCAGGGGAGGCACGAGACAGCATGAATAGCGGGGTCACAGGGGCTGTTGCGCATAGTCATGGGGGGTTGGGATAATTGCGCTTGAGCGCGCAGGCCCCATTGTTAGGAAGGGTAAGGGAGTAATTAGGATGTACGCCGCCAACGTCGCTCACTGATTAGCATATCAACAGCGCCTGGGGACTGCCGTGCGCGGGCTTGGGGTGCACGAGCCCATTGTTCAGCGCAGCATCCCCTTTGGAGGTAGGGAGGATAAATAGAGGAGCGCAGAGGGGAAATCGCTCTCTTACTCCAGCGCCAGGCGACCAGACGCAGCTCGAGCCAGCGACCCGGACGTCCGTGCGACGCACCGAGGCACGCGGTTAACACAAGGATCAGCGGACCGCCGTGGACACTTAACAGTGAGTAAGAAGGTGAATTAGAATCATAGCCGATAAATAGGGAATAGGTACAGGTTTAGTGGAATAGGCCAGCCTCGTCGACTCACTGATTCAACATCAATTCGCAGGTGGCATACAATAAATC